ATCCCCCAGTAGGTGGGCACCTCCCTTAGTGTCCAGATTTGTGCTGCTATTGAAAAGATCTATATAAATATTTTGGTACAGCTGAGTTCTTTTCCTATTTTTTAAACATCTCTTTTGAATGTAATGGCCTTGATAGGTCAAATGGTATGCACACCTTATGAACTTTTTTTGGATATGATTCCAAATTGCTCTCCACAAAGGGTAGACCAATTTACCGGTCTCCACAAAGTGCCCATTTTCCTGCCACCCCTCCAAACTTTGTTTTCCTCTTTTGACATCTTTGCCCATCTTATGGATGGGAAGTAGAATTAGAGTTGCTTTAATGGCATTTCTCTAATTATTGATGTATATCATCTTTGTTTTCCAAAATATTTTTCTACCTCGCCCACCCAGAGAGTATGAGAGAGATTCTTTAGATAAAGATAGAGATAAAGAAGAAAAAATAAAGAAAAAAAAAGACAGTTTCTCAAGACTCAATAACACAGGAGCCAAGTCATACCGTACATATATCATTCCATACCCATAGTCCCTTTCCTTTTATTGATATTACTTTTTATTTCTTCAATAGAATAGTTTCATTGTTCAGTCATTTTCAGTTTTTTGGGTTTTTTTTTGGCAAAGATTCGGAAGTGGTTTGCCATTTCCTTCTCCAGCTCATTTTATGGATGAGGAAACTGAGACCAACAGGGTGAAGTGACTTGCCTGGGGTCGCACAGCTAGTAAGCACCTGAGGCCAGATTTGAACTCATGAAGATGAGTCTTCTTGACTCTAGGCCCAGTGCTCTGTGCACTATGGTGCCACCTAGCAGCCTTCAGTGGTATATTTTGGGAGAGGGTATGAAGCACTCGTGCTTGGAAACAACCCCCTGGTTGTCTTAGGAAAAAACTTGAGTCTTTGTTTGCCTGAGTTTTCTTCCAAAGTTTTCTTTCGAAACCTGGTTATGAGACACCTGGCTAGTCCTAAGTTAGTGCTTAGCAACCGAACAGACTGAGGCCGGCTGAGCTTCTTCCAGGCCCTTAAAGAACATTTTTCAGTGTTGACTCTCTGGTTACACACACACACACACACACACACACTATCTGATTGTGAGCTTCCCTCCCAATTTGGATGGGAGGGAAAGATATATGTTGGTGCAGTGAGGTCCAGCAGTCTAGGGACAGAGACACAGGGGTGTGCTGGAGACAGCTCCGACTGCTCTCCAGAGTTGAGTGTTAAACTTTTAGTGTGAGCTTTTGTACTTTGGAAATTGGTACAAATCAGGGCTAGGTTTATTGTTTTGTTGATTTCTAGATTTAAGAAAGTGATGGAGAACGTGTTAATGACGAAAATTAAACATAAAAGTGTGTCTTGCATGCTAGTTTGTTTTTTTGCAGAGTACCAGTTGTTAAACACTTATTAGCACACTCCTGGTTATAAATCCCTTCCTTCCCGCCCCCCCACCTCCGGGGCTGTGTGTGTGTGGTGTGTGTTTGTGACAGAGAGAGAGACAGAGAACAGACAGCATTATCCTTTGTCATGAACTTTCTGTTTCCTGGAGATCTCTTCGGTTCCCAGTAGGTCTGTTATCATCACCAGAGTCTTTACAATTCACTCCCAGATTCACTTACTCCTTCCTAATCTTTGTCCTAAAACTCAAGTAGCCAATTGCCTAAATTCTCACTGGTCTTACCTGTTACATGTTATCTGCCCTATCAGAATGGAAGCTCTTTGAGGGCAGGGACTATCTTTGGCTTTTTTGTATCCCCGGCCCTTTGGCAGTGCCGAGGCACATAGCAGGTGGTTAATACATGATTATTGATGGCCTGACTGGCCACCAGCATCTCAAAATCAACATGTTCCAAAACATAAACCATAGGTCTAGAAATGGTAGACCCATGTGATCAACCAGAAAGGAAGAGGGGGACCATTCCACTCTTCCTTTGATTGCCAGTTGTGGGACTTCTAGATGACACAGGCAAGCCTATCCTTATCTTCCAACGCTCCCTGTTCTTCTTATTCCCTTTTGTTGCTTGTTGTTTTTCAGTAATGTCTTATTCTTTGTGACCCCATTTTGGGTTTCCTTGGCAAAGATACTGGAGTGGTTTGCCATTTCCTTCTCTAGCTCATTTTATAGATGAGGAAAGTGAGGCAAACAGGGTGAAGTGACTTGCCCAGGGTCACACAGCTAGTATCTGAGGCTAGATTTGAACTCAGTTCTTCCTGACTCCCGACCCAAAACTCTAAACACTGCTAGGCACCACCTAGCTGTCACTCCTCTATGCAAACTCCCCTCTCCTTCTTTTCTCAGCCAGGCACCTGCCTCTTGGGGAGTACTCAGACTGGGTAACCACAGAGTTGCTGCACAGGTACCATTGGGGAAAATGCCCCTAACCCCGCCCCCCAGATTATTTTACAGTTGTAGCAGTTGCCTCAAGAGAAAGGCTATGCTTTAGTGACCAATTAATAAAAGGTCTACCTCCCCCCTTTTTATTTTTCAATGGAGGAATATAGAGAGAAAATAAAATTTTAATAGAAAAAAATTGCAATAAAATGAACACCTTTTGGCTGTAGCCCAGAGGGGGTGGTCAAAGATCTCTCGGGTGATCTTGGGGTACCTCCGCCGTCGGTCGAAGCATAGATCCAAAGCTGGAAAGCCCCTAAAAGATCATGTAGTCGAATCCCTTTACAAAGGAGGGAGCTGAAGAGGAGAGTGGGGTAGAGTTGGGGGGGTCAGACATGTAGCAAACGGCCGACCCAAAAGCAGCCACCTTCTTCGGACTCCAAATACCATGTGTTAAATGGCCAGACCATCCAGACACAGCTGCCAGTGTGGCTGCGATGGCAAGACAGTTATTTCACGGAAATATGCAAAAGATCTGTGATTCCGTAATCACGGGTGACCCTGGTGCAGGAAACCACTCCACCTTTGCCTGGGCAGCACCTGGGCACAGTCGAGAGAGCATTGGATTACGAGTCGGGGAGACCTGAGTTGAAATCATGCTTTAGATACCTACTAGTTGTGTGACCCTGGCAAGTGCCTGCCTCAGTTTACCTTGAAGGGTTGTTGTGAGAATCAAATGTGACATACACAGATAAAGCGTTTTATAAACCTTAAATTCCTGTATAAATGCTAGCGAGTATTTCTGTAGGCAAGCCATTCCTCTATCTAATCTCTTCTGGGCTAGAGCCAAGAGTCGATTGTTTTATTGCATATTTTTTTGATTAATTAATAAACAATCAAAAAATAAAAATGAAATAAAATAAGCAATCCATGATTTTATACGAAGGAGTTGTCTGAAGAACACAGAGGTCAAGTGATGGCCCGAGGTCACAGAGCTCTCAAGTATCAGATGCGGGATGTGAACCCACATTGACCTCAAGCCCACTATTCTAACCCTAGGAGCCAATAGGATCATAGCAGGGAAGGGGACTTAGATGTCATCCTCTAATATTGTGGATGAGGAAATTGAGGCCAAAAGATGTTAAGTGACTTCCAATCCAAACAGCAAGTAAGTGGTAAGATTTTTGCTGAATGCAGGTCCTCTGGCTCTGAATTGAACTGCTCTGCCATGTTGCTTTTTATTTGTGCACTAACCTCATGAATTATACAAGTCACTTTCTTACAGTATCAATTACAAAAAAAAAATTGATAACAATAATAGCCAGCATTTATATAGTGCCTACGATGTGTTGGGCACCATGCTAAGCACTTTACAAATATTATCACAATTGATCCTCACAACAAGTCTATTGGTATTCCAATAAACATCACTTTCACTTTTTTAAATACACCATTTACCTACTTTTCCTGCCCAGTAAGCCTTTCTTTGTAAGAAAGATTTGTACACAGGTAGCCTAGGATCTAGAATAAGGAAGACTGGAGATCAAATCTAGCCTCAGACATTTCCTAGCTATGAGACACTGGGCAAGTTGTTTAACCTATATCTGCCTCAGTTTCCTCTTCTACAAAATGGGGATAATAATAGCACCTAGTTCTCAGGGGTTTTTTGTGAGGATAAAATGAGATGTTGTTTGTAAAGCACTATTTAAACGTGCAGCTAGGTGGCTCTGTGGACATGTTACTTACTAGAAAGTGCTATGTAAAAGCTAGCTAGTCTCACAGTTATAATTGTTATTATTATTATTGGGCAGCTAGGTGGTACAATAGACAGAGTGCCCAGCCTGGAGTCAGGAACACCTGAGTTCAAATCCGGCCTCAGACACTTACTAGCTGTGTGACCCTGGGCAAGTCATTTAATCCTATTTACCTCAGTTTCCTCATCTGTAAAAGGAGCTGGAGAAGGAAATGGCAAACCACTGCAGTATCTTTGCCAAGAAAACCCCAAATGGGATCACAAAGAGCTGGACACAACTGAAATGACTGGACAACAACATATTACTCTTACTACTACTGCTACTGCTACTGCTGCTGCTGCTGCTATTACTGCTACTAGTGTTACCAAAACTATTGCTGCTGCTGCTGCTGCTGCTGCTGCTACTACGAAAGAAAGAACCGTAACATGCCCGCACATCAATCGATCCGAGAGCATTTGCAACATTTTATACGTACAGTTCCTTCTTTCTTTAAAGAGGGAAGTATTTTCTCAGCTTTTTCTAGGAACAAGCCTGTCCTTATAATTTTACAATCTTCAGTTTTCTTTTTCTTTTGTTTACATTACTGTAGTCATAGTGGACGTGGTTTTCCTGGTTCTGATTATTTCACTATGTATCCGTTCATCTGCTTTTTCCAGTGTTTCTCTGACTTCTTTATAGCCCTGTTTTCTTATAGGGCTGGGGTCCAGCGCGTCCTGACTTCAAACAAAGCAGAGGCCATCAAAACTATTTTACAAAACTATTATTAGAGCCTGCTTCCCAGAAGGGTTGGCAATATCAAACCAGATAACATGCAAAGCATTTTGACAGCCTGAAGCTCTGAATAATCCTAGCTATTGTTATTATTACTGGATAGAAATAGAAAAGTATGTGGACAGAACAGATAAGTGTTTTCTCTATTTTTCAGCTGAAGAAACTGAGGTTGGGAGAGAGACTTTGCCTGGGGCTGCTCTGAGGGGTAAGTATGGGAGACAGGATTTGAAATTAGGTTCAGCACTCTGTCCACTGGGTCACTAGGAAAGATAAATTAACAGAACAAACCAGATAAGTATTATCGCCATTTAATAGAAGAGGAAACTGAGACACCTGGTTTGATGGGCTAACGTGCCTAAAATGTCTCTTCCTAATGGTTGATGGAGGCTACATTGAGAAGCAGCCCCCTCTGAAGTTGACTGAATTCTGCCCACCCTTTCATCTTAACCCTTTGCCCCCTTTTCCTTTGAGGGCCACTGTTCTGGATTCCGATGCTTGGAAAGAAGGAATGGAATTTAACTTCTCTCCCCTCCCCCTGCCCCTGGAAAAGTGGTTTCCTGTTTCTGGGGCTTCTAAGGGGAGAGGGTTTGAGAGCCTGCATCCTTAGCCGCTTGGTGGCGCTGACAGAAGCTATTTCTGATTCTAATTTCAGCCATAAGTGCATGCAGAACCTTATGCCATGTGCTTCTATCGTTAGCGCTAACTCTGCTAGGCTGGTCAGTGGATATGGCCAGGCCAAACATTTTAGGCATGAGTGGGCTTTTTTCTTTTTTTTAGCATATGCATGAGGAGGGATTGGGATGACGTATGCCCTTAGCTGGTCTGTCTGGTTGGGCACGTAGTTGATCTAGAGATCAAAGCCCACAGACGTTTGCCAAATGCCCACTTTATTTTATGCTGGGGAGACAGTCTGAGGCTCCTTCCCTTCTCCTCCCCATTGCACAGACAGGCGGGCTCTTTCGTTCCTTGAGAGGAAGGGCTGTTCTGTTTGTGTCTTTCTATCCCCAAAGCTTGGCAAAATGCTTGGCACAGGGTAGAAACTTATTAAGCAGTTGTTGGCTGACTGACGGGCTGAGAAAAAAAACAAATTTTTGGGATTATCTTGTGAGCTGATCTTTAGGACTTTTCTTTATGTACAATTTGTCAACAGAAAGGAAATCACTCACGCCTTGGAGGACAATCCCTTCTGGCTGGCATGGCACAACACGGTGACAAAGGAAGAGTGGTGATTAGCCAGATAGATCCTCCTGTGCGGCCGAGGGACAACCTGGTCCGGGCTCTGCCTTGGGACTCGGCAGGCAGGTCACCTTGGGAGCCCTGCCTCACTTAAATCTAAATCACGCCCAAGTCCGGACGTCACCCTCGTGATGTTACTGGTTCTCTTCCAGAAAGAAGGACTGACTAAAACAACACAAAGCCTCACCCTCTCTATCAGACCATCGATCAGCCAGCATTTGTTAAGTGGGTTAGGCTAGTGCTAGGGACTGGGGATTAGAAATCAAAAAAACAAAAATAAAAACCAGTCCTTGCCCTCAGGGAGCTTACATCCTTAGGACTATCACTTTTACTCAATTCAATTCAAGGATCATTTATTAAGTGGTTAATATGTGCCAGTCATTGGGGATGACAAGAGAAAAAAGAAACAGTCCTTGCCCTCAGGGAGTTTACATTCTACAGGAAGACAAAACATGAGTTGTTCCTAGAATCTACATACTGTATGTGTATCTAGGATATATGTGTATATATGATATGTAATACACAGTAATATAATAATAAAATAAATCCCAGTTAATTTTGCAGGGGTGGGCACTAGAGGTAGGCTTGGAGGGAGGCTTGGAGGTGGGGGTTAGGAAGGGCTTTATGTAGAAGGTAATGTTTGAGCTGGATCTTAAAAGAAGCTGGGGATTGACCGTAAGAGGTGAAGGTGAGGAGGGACAGCATTCCAGGCATGGGCACTGTCAATTCAGAGGCACCGAGAGGAAACATAAAGTGTCGTGTTCAAGGAACAGCAAGGACACCAGTCTGAGTAAATTGTAGATGGTGGGAAGAGAGGTTCCGTTTCAGAAGATTGGAAAGGCAGGTCCAGAAAAGTATGGGCCTGGAAGCTGGGGTTAATAGAAAAACATTGAGCAGCTAGGTGGTGAAGTGGATAGAGCACTGGCCTGAGTTCAAATCTGGCCTCAGACTAAACACTTGACACTTACTAGCTGTGTGACCATGGGCAAGTCACTTAACCCCAATTGCCTAAAGAAAAAAAATCCCTCTATTTTTTATATCCTCTGACTCAGAAATCCCATTATCAAGCATATCTTTGTCTACACTGTGGGGCACTGATCCCTCTGTTCTTTTAAGATGTAGCTTAAGCATCATCTTTCACAAGAAGCCTTTCCTGATGCCTCTAACTGCTGATGCCCTTCCTCCCACACCACCGTTTTATTGATTCATGTTTATTATTTTTATATTCATACTGCACATATTTCTAGATAGACTCGCCTCCCCCAATAGGATGAGAGTAGGGATTGTTTAATTCTTTGTCTTTCCAACATCTGCCTGGTACACAGTAAGAGATTAATAAATGTTCGTTGATTGGGTAACTGAAAGTTATATACAAAATATTCATAGTAGCATTTGTGTGTATATATATCTCACAATTTATTACAATATATAGTACATATATACAATATATGTATATGTTATACATATAATATATGTGTGCATATTATACCATAATATGTATATATTTGTATATAATACAATATATTGTACATATATGCAATATATGTATATATTATAATATATTGCAATATGTACAAATTTGTATATATATTACAATATATTGTCCACATATACAATATATATGTATATATTGTAATATGTTGAAATATATACAAATTTGTGTGTGTGTGTGTGTGTGTATAACAATTATCAAGAAACTAGAAACAAAATAAAAAAAGAAAAAATTGGATCTCTATTGAAGGGGAAATGACCAAACAAACTGTGGTATAGTAATGTACTGGAATACTTTTTGTACCATAGGAACTGATAAATATGAGGAACAGAGACATTTGGAAAGACTCATGTACCGCAATGCAGAGAGAAATAAGCAGAACCAGGAGAATAATAGAAGCAATTCCTGCAATAAAGGAGAGGAAAAGCAATCTTCTAAGAGGACAATTAAATGCAGTGACCCATCTCAGGCCTGGGGAACAGGTGATGAACCACATTTTCCTCCTCTGGGTAGAGAGGTGGGGGACTACAGAGACTGAATGTAGCATGTGCTATCAGACAGGATCATTCATCAGTTGGTTACATGGTTCACTACTTAATAATAATGATAATAATAGTGGCTAACATTTATATAATGCCTACTGTGTGCCAGGCACTGTGGTAAGTGTTTTATACATATTATCTATAATAATAATAATGACATATATAGTGCTTAATATGTATCTGGAATTATTTTACAAATGTTATTTTATGTAATAACAATAATAATAATAGTTAACATTTACATAGCACCTGTTATGTGCCAGACATTGTGCTAAGCGCTTTAAAAATATTATCTCCTATAACGATAACATTTATATAGCGCTTACTATGTGCTTAGCACTATTTTACAAATATTATCTCATACAATAATAATAATAATTAACATTTATATGGCACTTACTATGTTCCAGGCATTGTGCTGAGTATTTTACAAAAATTATCTCCGATGATAATGACAATAATAATTATAACATAGCGCTTATTATGTGCCTGGCACTATTATACAAACATTATCTCATATAATACCAATAATAATACTAATAATAACATTTATATAGTGCTTGCTATGTGCCCAGCACTGAGCTAAGTGCTTTACAATCATCATCTCATTTGGCCCTCACTACAGCCCTGGGAGGTAGGCTCTGTTATTGTCCCCAGTTCACAGTTGAGGAAACAGGCAAACCCAAGGTGAAGTGACTTGCCCAGGGCCATACAGCTAGGCAGCATCTGAGAACTCGGGTCCTGTTGACTCCAGATTCAGCCTCTATCTATTGTAAAGCCCAGCTGCCTTTTGTTACAAAAGAAGGTTTATTGGGTAAAAGGACATATTTGGGAAATTCCTGGTGTAAAAAAAAAAAGAAAAAGAAAAGAAAAAAAGAAAGAAAGAAATTAATAAAACTTAAAACAAAAATCCAAGAGGATTTTCTTAGGGCAGGGCATAGTTAGCCTTTTGTGTCCTGGCGCCTCTGCCGGTCAGTCCAGGGATGCCTAGGGGACTCCTCAGAATCATGTTTTTAAATGCATAAAATAAAATACATAGGATTACAGAGGAAACCAATTCTATTGAAATACAGTGATCCAAATAGTGTACAAGTTTGTGGGCCCCCAGGTTAAGAAACCTTGGGCTAGGTGATCTCCAAAGACCTTCGCACATGGAATATATGGCTCAGAATCATTGGGATGCAGACCATGCTGAACCCTTCCCTTCTCTAGGCCTCGGTTTCCACATCTGTAAAGTGGACATAATAATAACACTTATGCCACTTATCTCCTCGATGGCCTTAAAGAGCAAAAGTCTGAGCCTTCAGGATCAAATTAACCTGATAGAGAAATCATGGTCACTCAGTGTGCAGTAAATGCAGCCCTTTCTCACCAGCATGATGTATGGATTGTAGTGGTCCTTGCTTCCCAAAGGAAGGGATAGGGTATTACAGTAAGGCTAAGGACTGAACCTAAGATTTAATTGGCATAAGGAACTCCCAGGTGAGGAAAATACCTCTGCCAATGCAGGTTGGTACCCCCTCTGCAACTCATGACCTTAGAGGGGCAGCTAGGTGGCACAGTGGATAGAGCACCAGCCCTGAAGTCAGGAGGACCTGAGTTCAAATCCGGCCTCAGACCAAACACTTGACACTTACTAGTTGTGTGACCCTGGGCAAGTCACTTAACCCCAGTTGCCTAAAAAACAACAACAAAAAAAACCCTCATGACCTTATAGAATTGTCTAGACCTCTGGGAGATGAAAAACCTTGCCCACAAGTACAGCCAGTATGTGTGAGAGGCTTGGCTTGAACCCAGGTCTTCCTGGCTTTGAAGCTGCCCCGGGCTGCACTACTAATATTCACATACCTGCTTCTTTGAAGGTGAGAGATGAAGTAATCCGCCCGTTGTCACACAGTGTCAGAGGTGGGATTTGAACCTAGGTCTTTGTAAACATCAAGAGTAGGGCTCTGTCACCATACTATGCAGTGCAGAAAAGGCAGCATGTTGCAGCAGAAAGAATCCTGGATTTTGAGTCAAAGGACCTGGACTTTGAAGCCAGACTTTGTAGCTTATGTGTTTTTGGTCTGGGCCTCAGTTTCCTATTCTGTAAAAAGAATAAAAACATTAAAAATTAAATAAAAAAGATTTTTTTAAAAAAGAGATTTGGGGAGCAACCAGGTGGTGCAGTGAATAGAGTACCGGTCCTGGAGTCAGGAGGACCTGGGTTCAAATTCAGCCTCAGACACTTGACACCTACTAGCTGTGTGATCCTGGGTAAGTTTGCCTAGCCAAAAAAAAAAAAAAAAGAGGGCTGGATGAAGTCAGAACCATAATGAGGGCCAGGCAGCTAGAACTTTGTCAAGGCGGGTTGAAATGTAAGATGGTATTGATAGCATGTACACACCGTCAGGAGTCTGAAGCAAGTGAGCTTAGGCCTCCCTTAGCAAGGACAGTTAGTTAGAATAGGAAGCTCTTTGCAGAGGAAGTGGACTTCATCTGGTAGCTTCTTCAGCTGGGTTGCCAAATCCTACATCCTCCCCTGGTTGCTGCACCCCAAATGAGGGCCGCCCCCTTCACCAGAGGGCTCTATCTTGCTCTCTCTGCCACCCCACAAGCAGCCTTGGTGAATCCTGGGGCCTCCCCCTACCCACTACAGGGACCCCAAAGTCTGAGGCCCTTCCCTTCACTCTCTGCAACTGAACAGGCCCTAGGTGCCAATATTGCTAATCATAACTCTGGACCAAATAGACTCTTTAGGTGACCTGAACAAACTCTAAATATGTATTAATACAATTAGTATAGTATAGTATAGTATAATATGATATATATGATGTGACGTGATATGATATGATATGATATAATATGATATAATATGTGATATAAAGTAATGTAATATAAAATATGATATGATATAATTTGATCTAATATAATTTGATATGATATGATATAATTTGATATGTGATATAATGTAATGTAATATATGATATAATATATGATGTGATATAAAGTAATATAATATAAAATAATATGACATGATATAATTTGATCTAATATAATTTGATATGATATGATATAATTTGATATGCTGTGATGTAATGTAATGTAATATAATGCATAAGCAAAGATGGGAGGGAATAGAGTCAGGAAAGAAGGGAAGGTCTCGGGGGACTTTTCACCCAGAGTTTAATCTGGAGTCAGATGCTGGTCCTTCCAACCACTGTCAGTGTGATCTTAGTCAGTCAATAAACATTTATTAAGTGCCTGTTGTGTGCCAGGCACTCTGCTAAGTGCTGGGG